ATATTTGATGTCATTCTCAAGCATCAATATCAATACAATTTAAAATCCAGGGGATATAAATAAAAAAAATGTGGTTACCAGAAAACATATTTGTACTTTACAATATATATAAAAAATATATTCTACATAGAATTGCCTATTAAGGGAACATGAAGTAAATATCAGACAAATTTTGTGGTTGCCAGAAATTCTCTATAAAAAATTATAATAAAAAACAGGGACAACGACTGTTACTTAAAATATACTGAAAAACTATAAAATACTAATATATATATATATATATATATGCTGTATATATAAAAATCTTTTTGTTTTTATGTTAGATGTGATTAGTCGATTTGACAGCACTAATGAGAAATTTCCTAGACGTTCCTAGAGTATTTTTGCATTGAGGGATGAGAAACTAGGGAAAACCATTTCACTACATTGCATCACATGTATTTGTGACAATTAATAAAGAACCTTGAACCCTGTTGTATTGTTAAATTTATTTATTTATTTTTACCATAGTGACTTACTATAGTACTTTTACATTTTCTCCCCATTAAAAATGACATTTAAGAGCCATTTTTTACAGCATAACTCAAGATTACCCTCAGTAGGACATGTGGACAACAGAGGTGTTATCTGAGGTGTTTGGCTTTACCGTGCCATCAGTTTGCTTCTGTTTTGGTCAGCCTATAGTGTGGAAAGGAAATGAGGTACTATTAGGACTCTCACCGTAAAAAAAACCCAGACAGTCTCTCAAAAACAGCCTCTTCTCAGCACACCAAATAGACCATTAAAAGCTGTGGCGACTGCACTAACCACAGTCAAAGCAAACAATGTTGTTTAGGCCACCGCAACCCACAGTTGTAAAAGTCCCCTGTGAAATGTGTCAGACCGAACCGAGGTGAAGTTTACGCCCCAGGAGTGCACATCAAGACTGTGTGATACGGTCACAGCTAATGGCCACCTGAGTGTGTCTGACTACAAATCACAAAGAGCCGAACACTGCAAAATTACTGTAAAATCAGACATTTAGAAAGGTTTTGCTCAAAATAAATCTGCAAAATATAGTAGTGTTATATTCACAAAGCATTCTCTGAAAACAAGTCTTAAAGGTTCAGTTGTGCTTTGCACGTAATACAGCACTGAGAATCATTCCTTTCGGACCAATGCAATACAATTTAAATAATGTCAAAATGCGTCGCATTTTAATAATGAGAATGATATTTTTTGCATTGCAATAATGAGAAATGATGGTAAATGTGCTTAATTGTCATGAAAATAATGTCATGTTGTGTCAAAGCTATACGTCTTCAGTCTCTTTTTGCTAAATATCATTTTAGAGTGAAAAATCGCTTGATCGTGTTTTTTGAAAGATTCATACATTATATTTTACAAAAAAGAGATTTTATCCTCAATATATGATTTAACAAGAACATGTATTCATTTTCCCCATAAAAAAACAAACAAACATTTTACAGCATTTTACAGTGCTGTCTTGTTAAAAATAATATATATTTTTTACTGTAAAGGGTAAATTAACCAACTCATTAAAATAAATAAAAAATCCAAATAAAATAAAACAAATATTATCATATTACATAAATACTTTCCAATTTAAATCATCTCACTTTTTTTTTTTACATTTTAATGATAATGAGATTTTTTTGCATTACAATAATGAGAAATAGTGGTAAATGTGTTTGATTGTCATGAAAATAATGTCACATTGTGTCAAAACAATGGCAACATCTTAATAGTCCTAAAATAGCATTTAGCCTCTTCGTGTTAAAAATACGACTTAACAAGTACTGTACATGTGTCTCCTGTTAAAATTTAGAATTTCACCATAAATGAAAAAATATTTTATTGCATTTTTTTGTTGCATTTTACAGCACTGTCTTGTTAAAGATATAAATAATTGTTTTACTGTGTATAGTAAATTAACCAAATTAAAATCAACATAAATTAAAGGCAGTGCAACAAATACTATCATAATAAATATTTTTAAATAATGTTATTTTCGCATTACAATAATGAGAAATGGGAGTAAATGTGCCTTAATATTGTATTGAAAATAGTCAAAATTGTTGTCCTAAAAATAGATTCAGTCTCTTTGTGCTAAATATGATTTAACAAATGCATGTATTTCTACCATAAATTGAAAAAATTATCTTTTAGCATTTTACATTTCCGTCTTGTTAAAGATAATGTTTTTTTTAAAATTCAATTCAACTCAATTCTCCTTTATTTGCATAGCGCTCTTCACAATACACACCGTTTCAAAGCAGCTTAACAAAAAATGCATGAGTCCACATTACAATTTAGAGTGATCTGTTATCAGACGTAACTGTCTAAGTTATGCATTTCAGAAATGTACATATCACAGTTAGATAAAAATGTATTCATTTAAACAATGTAATAATTTAAGGCAGAAACAATGAGCTCATTGAAGTAATGAATACTTGTTTGTTAACAAATGATTATGACATTAAGAAAAATGTAGCATTGGTGCGTGTTGATTCTGAGTTTTATTTACTGTATATGCTCAACTAATCATCTCAATAAAGCATTTCTCTACAGTCATTTCCATTAAAATGACCAACAACTGTATTATTTGTCTGTTTGAAATGGCCACATAATGTGCATGATCAGTTATAATGCAACCTAGGTGAAATGGCCCATGCAAACGCACTTGACTCCAAATGAATTTATGTGCAGGAAGCAGCATGAATTCCAGATGATGTGCTCCACGCCACATTATCAATAACTCACTCTGAACCCCGTCTCACTGTTTCCTACTGGATGGTTTACATTTTTCTCAGATGACCAGGGCTGAAAGCTCACGGCTGAGGTAATTAGAGCGCACCAGCTGTATTGTGCTGAGAAGTGCTGTAGCAGCTGTCCCAGAGCAATGGACACTCTCCTCTCTCACTTCATCATCTGTCACAATTCAATATTACAACAGGCTTTATTGGCATGACAAACAAAGGTTTACATGGCCAAAGCATTAATAAACATTACATGCCCACAATGTACACAATAAAGCGCCTCTCTCGGTCGCTCTGTTTGGGCTGCACGTGCAGGCGGGCCGGGGGTCTGGCACTATTCGGCTCAGGGCCAGCATGCTGCACTCCGGCCAGTGAATAAATGTGCGCATTGCTCATTCAAGCCTGACAGCAAGGGGTCTGGAACCCGCCGAGCCAGCCGGCTGAAAGGAAGGTGTGAGAGAGAATGTTAATGGCTCTTAATTAAGGATGGCTCTGATAAGGAGGTACGGTGAGGTTGGGGGGAGCACTGAGGTTTGAGTACCAGCCCTGGAGAGATGTTTGCACCTGAGGAGCATTTCATCGATTGTCCTGGCAGGGGGGGACTCACTAGTTTGCCATTCATTTACTAACATGATGTGTATCAAATCAGATGCTAATGGGACTGTGTGTGCGTGTCCGTGGGAGAAGTAAGCAATGAGAGGGGGTGGGCGATTATTTATTCTAAACGTTTGAGTGGGGAAAGAGGCACAAACAATCACACATTTAACAAAAAAAGCCCCCCAGGCCCTTATGCCGTTATAGGTTTGCAGCGATCTGCCACTGAAAATTCAAATTAAAAGTCCCAGAGTCAGTCTGACATCATGCAACACTAGAAGTGGAATAAATCTAACAAAGTATATCGAAAAGCCTTTTAAAAGTTTAAATTGAGCTTCTTTCTCGGTTGTGTGAGATACGATCCCCCAATTGACTGCTAATGTTGACACACCGTCTTAAACCAGTCTGGAGGAAATGGAGCGCAAAGCTGTGTTTGCACAGCAGATAATGCAGCTCCTAATTTAGAAAAATCCCCCCCAAAAAAAGGGTTATAAGGGCAAAACACGTCTCGACAGGAGGTGAAGCACTTAGGAAAATCTAATCAAAACCGGAGAACTGAAAAAGAAAATGTTGGAATCAATCTTTTTTTTTTTTAAATGGCTAAAAATATTTGATTTAAAATTTTGTCTAATTATATTTTGAAATGGCTAATTAATGTATTTAAATTTAAATATATTTTTTAACGTTATACTTAGTTTGCAAAGTTGTATATTTATTTTTATTTTTTATTTTAATGCAAAATTAAGGTGATATATAGGCCCTTAAATGTACTATATGTTTAGGGGCCTATATAAGATGCAAGTTATCAAAACAAAAAAAAGTTTGAAAAGCAGCCCTATAGCAGTTGGGGAAAATTTCCCAACAGAAACATTAAATAAAAATATAATAAATATAAATAAATATAAATAAAAATATAATATAATATAATATATATATATATATATATATATATATATATATATATATATATATATATATATATAACATTAAAATAAAAATTAGGACTATTAAGATAAGGACATTGCAACATAGTTTAACAGCAAAATATTTCTTTCTTCTGGATTTGGGGAGAAACATGATATGGATAGTTTTTCACGAGATTCACCTTTTGTAAAAACAGACAGTAAAGCTATTTTATCATGTTATATCAACATGCTACCAAACCATGCATTCATGCGAGCAGCCAGTCTACTACTCACATTAAACTGACAAATTAACACAATGTATGTGAAATATTTGAGCCTGTTGAGCTCAAAAGTGAAAAAGAGAGAAAGTGAAACCCGATTACAGTTTCAAGGACAGGCAATTAATTTTGATTACGAGGGATTGGCCTCAAGGGAGAAATTTCAGAGTTCTGTGAGGCACATGGCTTAGTAATGCTGTGTGTGTGTGTGTGTGGAGAGAGGGAGAGAAAGAGAGAGAGAGAGAGAGAGAGAGAGAGAGAGAGAGAGAGAGAGAGAGAGAGAGAGAGAGGCTGGGGGTTGCTCGTAAACTCAAACCTTGACACCAGCCTAGCCATGACACAGGAGCCGCGGCCCTCCCAGCCCCACGGCCGGCCCCTAGGGGCCCCGCTCCCATTACGATCTCGCACTCAATTGTCTGCTGTGTGTGAGAGGGCTCTGGGGGCAGATGCACTCTATATCATACCTGTCAACAGGCGCGCTTAGCACAGACCTGCGTACACAGACACACACGGCCGGAGCCTGCAACACGACACCGACGGCGAAACTGGGCCATCTTAGCCAGACAAAGACTCTGGAGTTGACAGCAGGAGATGAAATCTGCCCAAAAGGCATTGGCAGTTCCATATCACGAACAGTCGGACGCTGGGAGGGTCATAATGATACCCATGACCGTTCTGTATGGAAAAAACACATGAGTTACTCAAATCACTTTAAGGATGGGAAATGGGAATATGCTATTGAAACTCTTACCGAAGCCAAACGCTGACGTTACAGAGCAGCACAGTTCCCCTTTCACATCGAAGGCTGCGTGACACAATCTCAGCACTGCTAATCATCTGTTTTGTGCCTTCATGTGAGAAAATCTGTGATTAATTCATTCAAAGATGATCTTGGCTCAAACCGCACATGTGGTCACACAAAATATTGCGATTTAATTGCACACATATGATTTTCTCTGGCATACTATTAATGTGGTTGAATTTCTGAGGTATACACTGATTTCGAATCCTTCGAGAAGATTGAAGCACTGAGTTAATTTGTTTCAAATGTATAGTGTAAAATAGAGAAGATTTGGAGACCACATGGGGAAAACATGTGGGCTTCACTCAAATTTATTTTTACAATATGATGGCTGAAGATTTTTTTCCCTCTACAAACTCTCCCTTTTCCCCCTTCATTTTGTTTTAATAAACTGACCACTTGCATAATGAGTCTTCTGGCGTGATCGAGGTGAGGGGCCAAAATCGTGAGAATAGCGACATCGTGCGGTCAAAATAATAACCGCAGCTATTATTTCAGACACGAGCTTCATTTAGAATAGAATAGAATAGAATAGAATAGAATAGAATAGAATAGAATAGAATAGAATAGAATAGACAGAATAGAATAGAATAGAATAGATGTATGTTGCTAAAACAAATTAAAAAAAGGTACATTACAATTTAATTTAGCAAAAGCATTTGCAGATACAATTGCCAGGCCTATATCAAAGGTTTGGATTTGTTTTTGAATTATAGAACTACATGGAAAAATATAACATCTGGTATCTGTACAAAATGGAGGCATCATTATCTATAATTGCACTAATACAGCACAGCATGACTCCCATTATATGCTGAATTTTGGCACGGAATTATAATGGTTAATTTACATGAACTGCTAGTACAAATGAATGTTCAACACATGACATTGGTATGTCAGATCGTCCAGTTTCTCTTGCTCTGTCAGTCTACAGCTACAAACTCTGAACCAAAGCATAAGCATTTCATTATGTTTAGTCTATAGTTCATGTGATTGCAGAAATGTGATTTTACTAGTCCAACTAGTTCCAAGTAAGACCTTCCTTGACATGCCTTTAGATTGATCAATATGCAAGTCATGTTTGATTCGCGAACAAACGTTTATTTTAACGTGATTCAGTCCAACCGATTGTTTGTATGGTGAATTTGTTAAGCAGTAAAACTAGTCTGAACAACACTGCCATTCATTTAGATTGTTTACAATACTGTTTGAATAATAAAACAACTTATTTGAATCAATCTATCGTTTTAAACATAAAATTAAACATAAAATGGTGTGCGTGGAATACTTTTGACTAAAAAGTATCAGTGAATCGTTTTAACCGATTCAGCGAAAGGAAACTGTCCGAACAAACCGATTCGCTAAAATGATTCCTAATGCTAAGTTGATATTGATAGAAAGACAGACGTAATATATTTTGCCTAACCACATATAACATATAATTTGGTTTCTTAAAAAAAAAAAAAAGTTAGGGCTATTAGACTGTTGTTGGAAAAATACAAGTTCTTTCTCTTCCTCGTTTCAATTCCCAAAAAACTCGCCGAACCTGATCTCACCGGAGAGGTGCGTATTTAACACGACGGTTCACTGGAGGAGGAAGACGGGGTTATGATTACATCTCCATTTAAAGTTCTCCACAAGTTCTTGCAAGTTTCATGACCCACTATGGCAGTAAACCTGAGTAAAAACGGACCCGCGCTTACAGCCGCATACAATGACGTGGTGAACGGGAAAACGGACACAAACTGGTAAGACATCTACGTATTAAGAATCGCAAATCATTATCGAAAATAAATGAATGAATGAATGACAATTAATCAATTGCAGGCTAAACATCATATTTATTTACGATATTAAATATTATTCATAACATTAAAAATGACCGAGGTCCTTTAACTCTTTCATAACATACAAATTACTAGGCTACTTTTCGAGACTTGCGAGGTAAGTTAGCATATTAACGTTACATAACTCATGTGCTCAAAAGATAATAGCTGGTTACGTGGGAATTTTGTAACTATTGTTGTGCATCATAGATATAACTTGAATATAACTGGTCAGTTTTTGTGGTTATATCTTCAGTCATTTTGAGAAGGATCCTGCATACAAATGAACCATATTTGTTGATTATAGGGTGTTGTTCACATACGAAGGAAACAGTAATGACATTCGGCTTGCAGGAAAGGGAGGTGAGTGAATGCTTTAAAATCAGATAAGAATGCCAACAGAGTGATGTCATTCTTTTTGTCCTATTTAATGAGTCAGCTGTCAACAATGCCTGTTGCTTGTTTGTTTTTCTGTGAATGTGCCATAGATGGTGGGCTTGAAGAAATGGTGGAGGAACTGAACAGCGGTAAAATCATGTACGCCTTCTGTAAAGTGCTGGACCCCAGTTCTGGAGTCCCCAAGTTTGTGCTCATTAACTGGGTATGAACAGAACACAAATAACCGAATGTACTAATGAAAAAGGCTTTATTGTGTTAACCTCTCAACATCCATTATAGAAATAATCTTAGTACTGTTAATTGGTTTCAGACCGGCGAGGGAGTCAAGGACGTTAGAAAGGGTGTTTGCGCCAATCATGTTCACTCAATGGCCAATTTTCTGAGGGTGAGTGCAAAATAGAGCCTTATAAAAATCCGTTCATTAGTTCAATTAGTTACATTTTTGTTACATTAGGGTCCTTATGATGATGATGATGATATTGCCTTTATTCGTCTCACAAGTGAGAAATTTCAAGGAAAAATACCTATGTAATGACTATGTAATGCCATTAGTATGGAAGCTTCTTTGTGCAATGGAATAAAAAAAGAAAGCAAAGCAAATTGTAACTTTTTCATCTTACACTTTTATCCCTTTAGAATTGTGAGATATTAAAGGGATAGCTCAAATGTGCTGTGTAACATGAGAATGAACCTCATTGGTTCTCGCAAGTCAAGTGAACATGCTTGAGCTTCTGTTTACCACAACATGTGTGAGTTGATGATTGTTTATATGTGAATAAAAGCCGAAATTCAATCTGTTCATCATACAAAGTGATCGTGTCAAATGTCAGAATTGTCAGATAAAAAGTCACAATTATCTTTTACATTTTTTCAGTCCTTGCCGGAAAACTAGCTTCCATAAATTAGAGATGGTCATAATATAATTCTTCATTTTGAATTTTGAATGTGTATTTTATAAAAGGGTGCCCATGTGACCATCAACGCTCGATCAGATGATGATGTTGAACCTGCTGCCATCATGGAGAAGGTGGCCAAGGGCTCGGGCGTCAACTACAACATCCACAAAGAATCAATCCAGAACAATAATTGTGAACTTATTGGACGTGTGGTCAGTGAAGTGATGAAATATGTCCATATCTCATATTTAAAGGGGCTTTGAATTTCTGCATGTTTGCCTTCTGAATTACTCCAATGCCTCTGTTCTCACAGGGTTCTGTCTATAAAAAGATCAGTGCTTTAGATGAAATCCAAGCTACAATAAGAGAAAACTTCTGGGCTCAGGCTGAGGTGAGGAAACGTCACAGGAAAACGCAATTCTTTTATCTTCTCATCTGCTCTTGACACGTTCTCTCCCATCTCCTTTATCAGCAAGATGAAAAGAACCGCCGGCTGGAGGAGCGCAGGAAGGCAAATGAGGAGAGGCAGCGTCTGGAGGAAGAGCAGAGGGAGCAAGAGGCTAGAGAGGCAGATGAGCGAGAGCGAAGGCAGAGAGAGAGAGAGAAAGAGATCAACCAACAGAGGTGATTTTGTGTTTGTCCCATTCATATCATCAAATAGAATCTACACTGCTGTTCAAAAGTTTGGGGTCAGAAAGATTTGTACACTTTATTCAACAAGGACACATTAACTGGATCAAAAGTGACAGTAAAGTAATTTATAATGTGTTTTTTATCCAAATAAATGCAGTTATTCTTCAAAGAATCCTGAAATAAAATGTCTCACAGTTTCCACAAAAATAGTGGCACAACCGTTTTCAACATTGAAAATAATAAGAAATGTTTATTGAGCAGCAAATCAGCATATTAGAATGATTTAGGAAGGATCATGTGACTGGAGTACAAACAGTTATTTAAATGTTAATAATATTTCACAATATTACTTATTTTACTGTATTTTTGATCATCCTCGGTGAGCATAAGAGACTTCTTTCAAAAGCATTAAAAAAATCTTACCGACCCTCAAACTTTTGAACTGTGTATATCAGGGGTGTGCAATCCTGCTCCTGGAGGGCCACTGTCATATATACATTACCCCCAACCCCAATTAAACACGCCTGGACCAGCTAATCAAGGGATTACTAGCAGAAATGGGCTGTGTCCAAAATCGCCCCCTATACCCTCACTCACTATTCCCTACATTAGTTCACTAATATAGTTCACTTGAAGGAGTGAATGAAAACGAATTTGGACACTGAGTGCGCCGGAAGGGCTGCTGCTTCTGCATAGTTTGTGCTTGCGGTTTAATAAACATTTGAAACTTAGCAAACTGGAAGCTCCAGTAGTAATGAAAATATTTATCTTGAACTCTGTCATTGAAACTATGTAAAAACCTTAATTAAACAATCTAATAACCAATTACAAAGGCATTTATACCTGAATGATATTGCTGTTGCCACATTGGACCAGCGGTTTGGAAAATTAATGGATGATTCAGTTGCGGCGCCATCTTCTGGTCAGACACAGGAATTCATTCAGCGCGACCTTCACAGTGTATTATGGGTATTTTCTAGCCGTTGAGTGTACATTGGTTGTATTGTGCGATTGAATGAGTGAGCTTAATAACATCCACTATGGTTTCAGACACTACTACAAATATGCTGTCGATTCATTAAATGATAAGCTGTTTTCTGACAAAAGCAGTTTATTCAGCCTCTGCCTCTCCTCCATTGACATCCATTTATTTATTTTAAACGACATCTGGTCTCCCTCCCTGCATCCTGCAGCGTTAGCAGACATTACAGTTTTGTTTTGCTAATCTTGCAGGGTGGCTTTGTTACTAGGCAGACTAGAAACTTCCAGGCCGGTGTGTTGAGGCAAGTTAGAGTTAAACTCTTCAGGACAGTGGGCCTCCAGGTCTGAGTTTGGACACCACTGGTGTATATAGTTCACCAAATACTTAAAAGTTGCTTTGGATATACATGTCTACTAAATAACTACCTACTTGGTGTCTCACAGGCTGTATGAAAAGAAACAGGAGGCATCAAATAAAGAACAGGAGCAAGGAAAATGGGTAAAATTATCTTTCCTGCAATAAATCTGAACATTTTAAAATCATATATATATATAT